GCAAACTCCCATCGTGTCCCAAATCACATTCCGCGAATCGAAAGGGGAAGCCTACTCATCCATCAGCTCCCAGAACATTCTCAGCCGCTCAAGAGTCAAGAGCCTATAGGAACCAGGCTATCTCTCTCTTTATTTATACGCAATATCTTAAAGTAGCAGAGCAATTATTTCAATTTTTCAGATTTCAAGGTATCAAATTAAGATATATCATTGATAAATCATGGATATCTCAATACGTATAATCAAGTATTTCCTCAAAGAAAAAAAACTTATAATCAAGTAGTGTTATTGATTCTTTGAACAATATAATAAAATATAATAAATTAGGTATATCAACATTCATATTCGATATGGAAGACAAACATTTAGGTTATAAAAGACGAACACTTCATTTAAAATATGTAAATAATACAACATAGTTCAATAAGAGAAACTGAACAGGTATATACCAGGTATATCATTAGTATATTAGGTATATCATTATCTTAGGCTCCGTGTGGGTATATTCAACATTTACTTTCTTATACGAGGGTCAGACCTCTAGATTTTTTTACCTTTACAAAATTGAAAAATGATTACTCCTTTTATAAATTCTTATCGTTATTATTATTTACAGCGCCCCAAATATTTTTAATAATTGATTACCTTAACTAGAAATATTAGAAGATCTAGGCGGCGTTGTTTTTTTTTTAGTTAAAGAAATAGTAGTTAATTAGTATTTATTTTTTAAAAAACTTGATTTAAAAATAAAGTATTTTAATATTTTATACTGTGTAAGGGTTAGATCCCTCTTTGTTCTCCGTGAAGGGAAGATTGCCTCAAGGCCCATATGATCGTGGGCCGATAGATTATTTTTGGGCCTTCTAAGATATCAAACCGAGAGGCCCAACTTTCATGTCACGTCTCACTTTCCCGGGGAAAGTTTGAATGGGACATATGCATTCTAAAATATCCATAAATACATGTCCACGTTTAAATATTAATAAGGTTCTTTATCTTTTCCCCGTCCATTCATTTTGGTCTCTATAAAACGTCTACTCCTTCCGTTTTCTTCATTTTAATACATACTCTTGTAAATGTTGATTTAGATTTTGTATTTTAAAGCGATTATTTTAAAAATATATAGATTAAAATAAACAAAGATTGAAACTACATCATTTGCATTATGAACGGCGTATAAATGCAACTCGGCTTCGAAACTATTTGTAAATTAACGAAGAAGGAATTTCAGTGGCCACCAGCTCCTCCACCGGAACCAGAGCCAACACCAACGCCGTGACCAGCTCCACCACCAATTCCTACTCCAAT